CTCTGCGAGAAATGCGAAGGCGTCACGCCCCGGTACTTTCCCGACGGCAACTTTGACCCGCCGCCGAGCTGTGCCAGCTGCAGAAGCAAGGCCGCTCTCGTGCCGCACCGCAGCTCGGCGCGCACGGTCGACTTTCAAAAGATCAAGTTGATACAAACGACATTCTACGTTCTTATGGCGATCGCGACTAGGCTACAAGAGGTCGACAACTGCGACGCGGCCGCGGGACGCATTCCGCGCATGGTCGAAGTCGAGCTCTTGGAAGACCTCGTTGACTCGTGTGTGCCTGGCAGTGTCGTCACGGTCTGTGGCGCGGTCAAGGCCATGAACTCGGAGCTCCATGGCGGCAAGTATGGCAAGCAAGCCCAGGCCAGCAGCCTCTATGTGCTCTACCTCGTCGCGAATTCAGTGACGAGCATCACGCAGTCCGAGGTCGTCTTCAATATGCTGTCACAAAAGCGAGCTTATCGGCGTCGCGTAGGCGTCATCGACCCAAGAAAACGTCGAGTTCACCGCCGAGGCAAGGACGCGACGTCGTCACGGCTCGTCGTGACGTTATGTATAGGACCTCGATGGCATCTACAAGATCGCTCACATGGACCGCGTGTTTGACCGGCTCATTCACTCGTTTTGTCCTGGCATCTTCCGCAACGAGCTCGTCAAGGTAGAAAGATTCGTGCTGCAACGATCGAGATGCGAGCGTAGCCGGTAGGCGGGGCTTTTGCTCGCTCTCTTTGGCGGCGCCCAGCGCAAGGAGGATGCGGGCTTCACCCGCAGCGACTCGCACGTGCTCATGGTCGGTGACCCGGGTCTCGGGAAGAGCCAGGTCCCTCCGTCATCTACGTCTCGACAGCAACGGACCATATAAGAACATTTTAGATGTTACGGGCCGTCTCGATGGTAACACCGCGCGGCATTTACGTCGGCGGCAACACGACGACGACGACGGGGCTCACGGTCACGATGGTCAAGGACTCGTCCGGCGACTACGCTCTCGAAGCCGGCGCGCTCGTTCTCGCCGACCAGGTAGACTCGAGAACGGTTGTATCAATGTGTCAAGCGCCGGAAACGAGTAGGGTGTGTGTTGCATTGACGAGTTTGACAAGATGGGCATCGACTACCAAGCGCTGCTGGAGGCGATGGAGCAGCAGAGCATTAGCATTGCCAAGGCGGGTACGGCGATGCAGTTCCATCAAAGATGCGTGTGACCATCGAGCTAGGAATCGTATGCAACTTGAACGCACGGACGTCGGTAATTGCAGCCGCCAACCCCTCTGGCGGGCACTACAACCGAAGCCGGAGCGTCTCGGAAAACCTCAAAATGAAGGCGGCGTTGGTAGACATGTCGTCTTTCAATGTTCAAATCATTATCGACGGACGTAGCTCTCACGCTTCGACTTGATCTTCGTGCTCCTCGACCGGCCGGACTCGAACCGGGACCACATGCTCTCGGAACACGTCATGTACAACCACTTGACGTCCAAGCAGAAGCGGCAGCGCATCGAAATGGGTGTTGGGTCGCAGAAGAGATGGTACGTACTTCAGCTCCGTCCATGGCGGCACTCATGTATGGAGGGTAGGTCCCAGTCGCGCGCTAGCCAAGGACCGCCCGCCGACATTGGGGATGCGGACGACGGATCGCTCAAGCAGCGGCTCATGGCCAACTGGGCCGAGCTCCAAGAAGCGCCGATCTCGATTTACCTCATCCGGCGCTACATCGCCTACGCGCGCAAATACATCCACCCGAAACTGTCGCCGGAAGCCAAGACCTTTTTACAAGAAAAATATTTGAAAATGCGCGCCGACGCCGAGACATCGGCCGACGGCATTCCGATCACGATGCGGCAGCTCGAGTCGCTCATCCGGCTGGCGCAGGCGCGCGCCAAGATCGAGCTCAAAGAGGTCGTCGAGGTGCAGCACGCCTACGACGTGGTCGAGATCATGCAAGAATGCTTGCTCGATACGTACACGACCGAGGACGGCGACTTGGACTTTGGCCGGTCGGGTGGCCTCAGCCTTTCAAAAAAGGTAAAGGATCTATCAACGTATCAACGTATCGATCTATGAACGTAGGTCAAGGCGTACATGGCGCGGCTCAAGAAGGCAGCCATCACGCGCAACTCGACCAAGTTTAGCATGGACGAGCTTCTGGAAGTCGCCAACAGCATGGCGCTGCAGGTGGACGACTTTCGGGACTTTATCGATATCTTGCGCAACGAGTGCTACGTGCTCAAGCAAGGCCCCAACGTCTACAAGGTGCAGCTGTAGCTCGACTAGATCGTACATCTCGGACCCCACGTCGGTATCACACATAAGAAGAAATACGGCATTGCTCATACCGTGTTCCGTGGAGCGTTCAAGTCTTTTTTGTTAGCGACGACGAGGACTGCGGGTCCCGGACCTGGTCTGTCCATTGTTGACGCTCGAGCGCATGCAGGCGCCCATGGCATCATCTACTACGCGCCCAACCGCCTCCATGAGCACGTGCTGGCGATCCTGCCAACATGGCTCGGTGGCTATTCCTCGAGCACCGCCATGCGCTCTGGCATACGCAGGCCCGCCCGCTTCTCTACTAACGTTAATGCGCATTCCTCTACGGCGACGCGTTCATCTTGCGCCACGTGCATGATCGCGGCTGCTTGCTCCCTTGTTGGGTGTTCTGGACACCGGCGATATGCGTGGGCAAGACGGTATGGACGCGATCGCCTTTGTGTGCAGCGTCGCCGATGCGCGCTTGGAGCCGCGGCTCATGGCCACCGCTACCGAGTGCGGCAGCCGCGTGCTCGTCCAGGACCTCGCGCACCAAGGCTGCGATGCCATCGACGCCCTCGACGTGCTCCGCTTTCTATACGAGCGGGGCTACGCAGGCTCTTCATCGTCGACGCCCAGAGCCACCGCAAGCAGCAATGCCACTTGGCCATTCTTTTCTTTCTCTCCCTACACCGACACAGCATCGCTCTCGTGTGATGGCGCGATCCGCCAAGGAACGAGCCTGCCGTGCTTCACGTCGCCTGGCTACCAGGCAGAGGTACTTGCGATGATGCGTCGATCTGCAGCGACGTCTAAAGCGCGCTGCAGCCGACTTGGATGGCGGTAGTCTAGGCGCCCCGCGGGCAGAGTACCAAGACAGGGGCAGGAGCGTACTGTCTGTGGTCGTGCGGTGTTGGCAGGGGAAGATAAGACATTGCACAGCCCTCGTGCACGGAAGGATAAGCTGTCTCTACGCCACATCTTCAGCTCGGCCCGCGATGATGCGCTGCGACGTGTTTTGAGACGGTGCAGACCAGCGGCCGCCAAGCCTGTCAGCAAACAAGCGATGGCTTCGGAGCGCACGCCTGGGCCAAGTAAGGTCGTTCGCCTCAGACTCCGTCTCTTATCTCTCTCGGGGCTCGCCTCATCCGAAGCGATGACGTCGCGTCGTTGTGGCGGCTCCTCGCGTGACACGCCAAGCTGCTGCATGGACACCACGCG